CGCGCTTCGACCTTCGTAGGACGGGAGACCTCGCACTCAGATCAATGATTGCATCAGTCACTGCAATGCACAACCGGTTGCAGCTTGCAGCAGCTCCTGAACACACATGTCGCCATGGATTGTCGCTAGAAACCTGAAAGAGCCGAGGATAGCAGAGTACCACCATCTTTTTGTTCCGACACAAGAAGCTCAGAGCGAGGCTTTCGCCGGCCTATTGCCAGCTCCCCAATTGGTCCCCAGCAAACTCCGATTTATCGTGAGATAATTGGAGAACCCAGCAAGCAGCACAGTTCGATCACAAGCTGTCCTTCGCCCTAAAGCTATATATAGGCCCTAGCTTCGACTTTAGTGAGAGCCCTATAACCTTAAGCCCGAGACCCTAAGCAGACACAGCATCCGAAGACCATTGGGCCGAAGCTCCTGGTATAAAACTTTCCTAGATAAGGTTATCGGAATCCAAGCGGAATGTAGGGTAGGGGTTGTACGGTTGTATGCTATCAGGACTTATTTGAGTATCGGAGCAACATGATCGACCCAGCGGCTCGGATTGGAAGGTCGGGGGATACTGGGCTCGGGGTTTAGGTTTAGGCTTCTTTGTTCAAGGTATCGGGAAACCCAACTACATGCAGGACCATCATATCCTAAAGCATAGAACCGAGACCTAAAGCCCAAACCCCAGAACCCAAAGCTTAATCTTTAGCGAAATTAACACAAATATCCTCGGTCTTAAATACTAAACCCTAAGCCTAAACCTTGCAACCCAACTAAGATCTAACCTCAAGACCATAGGTAGCGAGGCTCCAGATTTAAGCCTGGGACCGAAACAAAGCTGCTTGCAACCCTGTTTCAAACTCGCGAAGCCTACACAGACGGCAGCGACTTAGACGAAGCGGAACGTTTCAGGGCAGCCTTACTCTTGCTCTTCGCCTTAGCCTTTGGCTTGGCATTGAGGAAATCGGCGGCCTGATTTTTCGCAGCTGACATCTTTTCGATGCCGAATGCAGCCTCAGCCATCTTCTGGATCTGCGGCCCGGCAACAGTGACAAACTCCACCAGCTTGCCCACGTAGCCCTCGCCCCATTCCTTCTTGACCTTTGCACTCTCCTTAGGGCTGAGGGCAGCAACCTTGAGCGATTGGAACCCGGGAACTTCACAGTAGAGCCTGAGAACCTCAGTGCGATAGGTCTTGTAGTCGGCGATCAACTCCTTGGCCCAAGACCAATCTGCGGGGTTTTTTCCAAACTCCGACATGATTCGCCCCATAGAAACATCGGAACTCTGCTCCATGGCGAGCAACTCCTTCACCTCCTTTTCTTTTCTCGGCCCCGTTTGATCTTTTCGGGGCTTCTTCGGCGTCGGATCAGGACTGGAGTTCTCCTTCTCATCGTCGCCGGCTGGCTGCTGATCATCCATCCCCTGCTGCTTGGCCCTCTTATTCTTGTTGGCTTTGCCTTCTGTGACAGCAGCCATTCCCGTGTGGGCGAAGGGTGCATTGTTGCTGCCATCCATCTTGGGGGTGCCGATGTGCTCGGCCAAGGTAGTATAAAGCTCGGCGTAGCCCTTGAGGCCCAATTTAGTGTCAGCAACCTCCTTCTCCGTCACGGACCCAAGCGGCTTCTTCATCGCGTGAGCATAGGCCCTCATAGCTTTGCACAGGATAACCTTTTCGGCTAAGCTGTTGGGCACGGCCTCAGTAGCCTCGACGGTGACCGTGTTGGTCCACTGCTGCTCGTTGGTGGAGCTGATCAAGGTCTCCACCCAAAAGTAGGTCTGGGTATCCAGCCAATCATTGTAGAGGGTGCAGTACTCCTGTTTAGGGTTTAGGGTTTAGGGTTGGCCTAAGTGAATGGCAACAAGCTAACCATGAACCCGATTCGGAGGCCCTAAATCAACCACCCCCAAAACCCTAGCCCTCTAAACGGTTTATTGAGCTACAGGCTTCAAGCTGAAGGTTCTAAGTTAAGCTGGAGGTTTATGGGTTTTAAGGCTTATACCAGGACGTGACAATCGGACCTATGAAGTAATACCTCAACAGCATAGCTTATGTTGGCGTATTATTTTATAGGTCCGGTTGACACGTCTTGGTAGGCTTAGGGGCTTTTATTAGGGTATCGGGGTTCGGTGCAAGTTCGGGGTCGTGGTTCAGTTCGGGCGGTTATATATAGGGCTTGGGGTGCGGGACCATGAAGTTGAGAAACACTCGTCCTTGAGCCCAGGTCGTTCGCACATAGCCATATACCGATCTGCTTGCTGCCGGGCCTCCGGCTGGTCGCAGCCGCCGAGGATGTTGATGAGCTGCAGCTTGGTGACAAACCTGCCGGCTTCGTCTCGTCGTTTGCGGAAGCTCGTCGTCGTAGTACGACGAGTCGTCATGAAATCGAAAGATTTCGTAGCTGTCCAGGCACGACGGAAGTCCACTTTCATCGCATCGGTAAGCACCTGGTAAGCGGCACTCATGTCGGGCCGCCACTTGAATGCTCGCTTCATTGCCTGTGCGTGCGAGCCCCTCGCCGAAACGTCTTCGTGCTTTGTAGCCCAGAACACAATTCCTTCGGCAGATCGGACCACTTGCTGCTTTGTAACCCCCTTTGGATCCAGCTTGTGGTGGGTGGCAAAGTTCACGATGGCCTTTTGCACATCTCGCACACCTTGATCATCATCGCCACCCCCATCACCGCCAGTAGCCGTAGATGACTGCCCAGGTCCTGGCTGAGCTACACCATCGGCCTGCGGCGGCTGTTCGCTGGGAGCACCATCGGCCTGCGGCTGTTCGCTGGGAGCACCATTGGCCTGCGGCTGTTCGCTGGGAGCACCATCGGCCTGCGGATGTTCCTGGGCAGCACCATCAGCCTGTGGCTGTTCATCTGCACCGGAGCCATCGTTCACAACCAGAGTCTGGGTCTCTTGTTGAGATGGATCATCATGCACGACGAGGGTAGCAGCTTCGTGAATGCCAGCCATGCTATAGCTACTAGGCTAGAAGGAATCTAGAGACTGCGTGGACGGCCCGGTTTCGGGCACTTCACCTACAAAGCTTCGCCAGCTCGAGTTGCAGCATTTGCACGGGTTGGCATCATCAGCTTATTACTAAATTTTAGGATTCATTAGCTCGACAGCAGACATATAACTGTGTAAATGCAGCACTGAAACCAGCTCAAAACGGCTCATCGGGGCCTCATCGGGGTCATCATCGGGTAGTCGTGGCCGGTCATCATTAGTACATCCTGGTCTATCATGACCGGACATCATCAACCACCATCCCTAGGATCATCGGGGGGCTCATCGGGTCGATCATTGGGTCTACGGTTTCACCGGAGATCATTCTTTGCCGCCCCACTAAAGCTAACCGGACATCATTGCCCTATGTTGGGTTTTGTAGATTTAGCTACTATAGATCCATTTACCAAATCTAGATCCAATTTGGTTGATTTAGATCCAATTTAGTTGATTTAGATCCAATTTAGTTGATTTAGATCCCATTTAGTTGATTTAGATCCAATTGAGCTGATTTAGATACTCTTGGCTAATTTGGATCCCTGGCCGGTAACTGGTTTGGACCCTAATTTCCTCGGCGTCGGGCGGCAGTGCGGTGATTGCAGCCGTAGTGTTCGACGAACACAAGCGGCCGGGCCAGCTCCAAGCCGGCAGCACATGCTATATTGTCCTTTATTAGTTAATATACAATATATAGTGAGTATATATATATATATAGCCAGTATGTATTTACATATGCTATATATATAGCGTAATATACCAACCACTATATATCTACGAGGGATTTAGGGTTCAGGGGCTCGGAGTTATTAGGGGCTATAGGGACTTAATTTGGGCTTGGGGTTTATTATTATAGGAGTTTAGGGTTTTGGGGTTTAGGGTTTAGGGGCTTGGGGTTCGGAGTTTGACGGTTCCGGAGATTTTGAGAAGGGTCAAGGGTTCACTTCTTCAGAGGTGAAGATCGAGCTTCAGTAGCTAGAACGTCATATACGATATATTTATCTTTACAGCTCGATCATTGAATACTATTTAGCCAAAATAGATCCAATGCGAGGGTCGTTTAGATCCATTTACCTAAGCTAGATTCAATGTACCCGATAGATCCCGAATTCTGTCCCATTAGAGCTCCCCAGCTCCTATAGACGTATACCCTTGGACTCTGTACCGGGCTTCCTTATAATCCTGCGAAAGTCTCTTTGTACATTATAGATCCAATATTGCCCCCAATATAGATCCCAAACATAAATCCCATGTACCCGTTATATAGATCCCGAAGAATGCTCTCTGCTGAGACTTTCAAAGAGAACGAGAAGAACACAAAATGGATCCCAAACCTAGCTC